CGACGGATCCTTTCTTACATTTTCATCTCCTACGGCGGCTGTCCATACAGGATCGCCGTCGTGGTTGGTCTCCTCTGTGGAGAGAGAGAGAGAGAGAAGAAAAAAGTTAGTGGAAATTGCTGTTATGGCCGCCGCCACTGGACGGCTAACTCTCCACGAAAGAGAAGAGGAAGAGGAAAAATCGTTGGACTGGATCATCAGCGTCTTTCAGCATTGCGAATACTGCGTTATATATACGCACGTGTGTGTGTGTGTGTACATAACGTTGGTTACTGCGTGGAACGGAGGTAAGTGGATTAGAAATTTTTGAGCAGGATTTCAGAAATGAAAGAGAGAAGCAGATCGAGTATAATTAAATAATCCGCTCTTCGTACCTCGGCAAGATAATTACAATTACTGTACGAGAGATAAATTATCGAACTAACTTTATTCATTAATTTTTAATCATTATAATTTTACCCCTAATTGATTTCTTACCTACGATTACATTAAATATCAATAAAAAGTACCCGTTTTTCTACTCGAGAAGAATTGTGATCAACGTTCGAGCCTTGCTTATAATCCCGTCCACCATTATATATCGGTATACGGATCTGCCACACGTATTCTAATACGACGTTGTACGAAAATGAAAGTGCCGCGAACCGATCAATTTCAACGGCTATGCGACTCGTTAAACTCGGGAACACGCCAACGTTCCACGTATTATCCGTGGCGAAAACACTGGCATTAGGCGTCGAGGGCCGCTTCTTCGGCCATTACGTGTCCTTTCCCGGCAAACAATGCGAGTTAACACGGCGAGCAAGTACAGAATCTTACGAGATTCGAGCGTTTGTCCCTGTTCCCCGAGAAAGGGGGTGTCGATAAAAATTGGGGACACTTGTCTTGGGGAGGGAGTTTACGCGGGAACCTTGTTCCTTTACCTTGTTCTTTACGCCTTCGCCTCGCTAAGCTGTCCACGTTCCTTTTCCCACAAATTTTTTCCGAGTTGGAATAAAGTTTTAAGTAAGTGGGGGAACAAGTTTCACGAGGAGCAAGCTTACGTACGAAAATCTGAATGTATATGCACGGAACGATACGTGTGAATGAAAGAAAAAGAAACGTTAAAGTATTATAATTTCTCTTTTCCATTGTTTAGAGACGGTTTCCAATCGGTGGCTCGTCGATTATCAGTGTCGGTATTTATTAAAGTTTTAATTCACGAGGAGGAAATTTTAATTTATCGCGGTTAACATCGATCGTACAAAATTTATCCTTCGTATAAATTTATACACGCTCCTTTTTCGTACTTTTTGCACGATTGAATCGAACGAGAAACACGAGTATAATCGTACCTACAAGAACGTATAATTTCCTATATATATATAATTACGACAATTTTTTCCAACAAACCAATTAATCCAATAATCACTTTGGGATTAAAGAACGCTTCTCGCCGGCGAAGAATCGAAGCGGGCTCGCATTTCAAACGAAGAAGAGAGCGTGCATTTTCTCCACGAAAGAGCGTCTCCCTCGATCTCGAGTGTCCCACGCGCACCGCTTAACGCGGTTTTCGGGTCGGCGTTCAGAAGTCTGCAAGCGAGCCATCCATCCCCGGGCTTAAACGGGAGGAGGAAAACTCGTTACACTAATCCGGCTTCCTAATTGTGAGCGGCCCTTTCCCCTTTCCTTTTGTGGTCTAATGTCTTTTGACTCGCTCTCGGCTCACCCCGCTGTGAATACGCTTCTTCCTTCCCCATTTTGAAAACGTTACGTGACGCGCTTAGATATTTTCCTTCCTTTCTGATCTTAATTATTCCGGTCACCGAGCACCGTGGAGAAGAGGAGTCCTCAGCCAACCCTTCCCCTCCTTCTTTTTATTTCGAGGAGAGGGTTGGCGCGAGGCTACGTAATCGAAATTTATTAACGCCACTGCTCGGAGTAAATCTGGACAAAAGAACCGCGTCAAAGAGAGCCACTGGTTCTTCCTTCGAAAGAAGGGAATAATATCGGGGGACCACCCGGATGGATCACCAGATGCACTTAAGTATAACCTTGTCTATTAAGGGTCGGTTCGTTTTAATGATACGTGTAGCTCGTGATTTTTGTAAAGCGTGTTTGTATGCGCATTATTATATAATTAGGTTGGTTGGTATAATTTATCCCAGCAGGAAAAGCGAACGAATGAGATCGTTGATACGAAATGTTGTGGAAGGTTTGATAAGAAATACTCGAGTGGATACATATTTTCTTTTCTTTCC